CCGCGCTCGAACCGTCAGCGCGACCGCATGCCAGTACACACATGCACGCGGAGCCGGCTCAGTACCACATTCTGCACGATACCGGTGAGGAGGCGGCATATGCGGACCTCGCCCCGCCACGGCCGTCCGACTGTGCCTCTGTGGCGGTGGGACAGCTCATTTGACGTGGAGCCGCGTAGGCCTGACCCAGGTGCCAAGGCGTTATATGATTGGATATAGACCGTAAATGCCAAACAATCCTCCACACTCGGCGCGTGCAGCGCCACAAGGCGGTCGACGCCCATTTTGCCTGCGCACGCAACAACGTTGGACGCTGTCATGTCGGCGAGACAGTATGACCGCGTCGCAACAGAGCCCAGGCAGTCTCGTGAACGCTCTGGAAAATCGAATGTCAGGGGACCAAGGGAGCACCATCCCACGTGGAACAGGAAGGCGTATGCGACCGATGAAGACCCTGTTGATCCGACGACGTACGCATCGCGTAAAAGTTTTGGGTCTGAAAACTGGGAGGATGCCGAGGACAGCACAGAGCTGAACGCATTTATTAATATGCCTAGCCGGGTGGTACAAGACCCGTATCTGCACGACCTGGAGTCGGGCACTACCAATGCTTCTACACCGACATCCGTCAAGCACGGTGTCTCGTCCCAAGTCATCGAGCCCTCATCACCGGGAATGTATAATAACATGACGAAGCGCGTGGGTCGGCAGCCGAATGCTGAATCAACCAGGCCCAATGCCGGCCAAGGTGTGGTGATGCTACACCCCATGCAGGCAGAGTCTGATGACTACCTGCACATTCCTGATAAAAACCCCGACGCCCATTCTTGGCGTCCGACGCTGCGTGGCTTTGGCAATGTGTTCACTATCACCATTATTGGCTTGTCTGTACTCATGCTGTTTGTGGGCTATCCCATCCTGGCCGACCATCAGCGTCAGTTCAACAAGGGTTTGACCAGCTTTTTAGCAGATGCAGAGTCTAGCAAAATCCCTGTTCGAGGCTTGATTGACGAGGATACGGAGGAGCAGTTTCACACATGGACGAATCCTGTGGACAACTCGCAATATGATCTCGTATTCAGTGATGAATTTAACCAAGATGGACGCACGTTTTGGCCGGGCGATGATCCCTTCTGGGAAGGCGCCAACTTTTACTACGCCGCTACGCACGACTATGAGTGGTACACGCCCGAGGCCATCACGACCAAAGATGGCTTCTTGCTTTTCACGATGGACGAGTATGTCGAGCGCTTAAACTTGTTCCGTTCAGGCATGCTTCAGTCCTGGAACAAGTTTTGCTTCCAGGGCGGCTACATTGAGGGCAGTGTGATCCTGCCGGGCACACACGATATGCAGGGCTTCTGGCCCGGTTTCTGGTTGATGGGCAACCTAGGCCGGCCGGGCTATTTGGCCTCCACTGATGGAATGTGGCCCTATGCGTACGAAGCGTGTGATGTGGGTATCATGCCGTACCAGAAGGACACGGATGGCTCGCCCGTGGCTGCGTCGCGCGTCAAAGCCAAGCACAAGAATCTCTCCGCTTTGCCGGGAATGCGCTTCCCCTCGTGTACGTGTTCTGGACAAGACCACCCGGGTCCCAACCGGAAAACGGCACGGTCCGCCCCCGAGCTGGATATTTTTGAAATCCAGGTGCAAGGGGATGAGTCTTATGCATCACAGTCCTACCAGGTGGCCCCGTATGATGAGAATTATGTTTGGTTTAGCAAAAAAGGGTCATACAAGATGTATGACACGGACATCACGAAAAGGAACCCGTGGTCAGGTAATCCGTATCAAGAGGCCATGTCGTGCACGACCAGGCTGCCTCACTGGCCCTTCTTTGATGCGTCCACGAAGCCGAAGCCGATTCGGTTCGGTGTAGAATGGGATCCTGACTTTGAGAACACCGGCAATGGGCACATTACCTGGTACATGGACGGCAAGCCAACGTGGACGCTGAAGGATGCGGCATTGTCAGGCGATGAGAATACAGAGATCAGCCGACGCATCTTCCCCAAAGAGCCTATGTCCATTATCATGAATTTGGGCATCTCGAGCGGTTTCCAGCCCATCGAGTGGGACGATTTGGAATTCCCCGCACATTTGGCTTTTGACTACGTCCGCGTATACCAGAAGCATGGCACGCAAAAGCGTATTTCCTGCGACCCTGACAACTACCCCACAGCCGACTATATTCAAAGGAACCTGGAATTGTACTACAACAGCAACCTCACCTCCTACCTGAATTCGTCCCACGAGGCCTGGCCCAAGAATAGCCTGATGAACAAATGTTAAAGGCGCCTCGGAGCATGTAGTCGTCTTTTTGTATTAGTAAGCAAGAAAGTGAACCTCAGTACTGAGCGCATCGCTGCGTTTTTACGCACCGCACACGCGCGTGGCCATGTTTCTGGGGCGTGAAGACGTGGTGCGGCAGGGTGAGGGGAGTGATCGATCTCTGGCCCTGCCTGACATGTCCCCACATCTGTCTGCACCTCTGTCCGAGGCAGGCATGGAAAAGATCCCGATGTCTCGGACTCCTTATATGGATCAGTATGATGGGGTGTCGCAACCCCAGAACCAGTCCCTGCTCCCGTACCTGATTTCGTCACAGTCGCGAGAAGATACCATCATGCGCAACCGCGTGGCGCTGCGTTCCTCGACGCCATCGAGTGAGGTGCGGCCATACGCGCCCAGTTGGCGGTCCTCCACGCCCGGTGCCTCGACCAGCAGCGGCGGCAGTCATGCGCTGTACAAAGCGCCCCTTTGGCGCTCCTCCTCGCTGTCTGGCATGCCTTCCTCCCAGAAATACACACTCCGACCCTCGTCCCAGCATGATCCATACGGGTTTGTTCGTATGGCTCCGGACGAAATGGGCAATCCCCGCTACTTTCGCTGGTATCAACGAGAGCGGCAAGTACCTAGCATCCGTTCTATGCAGCATCCCTACCTCGCACAGCGGTACGTGCATCGACCCATGGAATACGCCCATCGTGCTCAGATGATGCCCACGTCCCAAACACCCCCTCGACCCTCGCCATTGCAAACACCGATCCAGGCACCGGGCGAGGTTGCCTCCGTTCTCGAGCCATGCCTCTCACCGTCCACACCTAACACAGACGTGGAACCTCTCAGCCTCGACCATATCTCCCACCTCGTGCCTTCGGCGCTACACCACCTCTTTGAGCCGGACAGCACCCAGGACCAGCCGCATCTCGACAAACTGCGCGTACGAAAGCAGCGGCTGCACATGGCTTATACCACTGGTGATTGGAGCCTGTCAGACGACGTGGCCATGCTGTGGACAGACTCGAAGAAGCGAAAAGCATCGAATCAAGGCCCGTTGAGCATCGAAGAGAAAAAGGCCAACCACATTGCGTCAGAACAAAAACGGCGCTCAAATATCCGCAAGGGCTACGATACCTTGGCCAGCATGCTGCCGGCCGTTACCAAGACAGAGCCCGAGCCGGTACCAGAAGAAGATGCACGTCCTAATGTATCCAACGAAGTCTCGATCCTACTCGAGGCAGTGAAGTACCTACAAGGGCGCTTGCAGCGACACGAGCAACTCCGACAACGCAAGAGGGACTTGCAGCATCAGCTCTTCCAACGATATGTGGGTATGTCATCATAAAGGCGCTAGGATGTCACCAATGTCAGCTGTCACGTCAAGTCCACGAGCCTGCATGGTCTCGTCGTTCTGAAACTTGGACAGATGTCGTGAGCCAGAATCGGCGCTGCGTAAGCAATGGTATACGTACAGGATCGTAACGACGACAGGTCGAGTATCAGGTTGCTGTGCCTTTAGTCGAAGCGCTGTGCGTACAGCTGCGACGCAATGCACGGCGGACGATGAACCTAAGAACAGGCCATCATGCGTCGAAAGCCACCGCGACATACGCACGGCTTCATCGTCCGTCACTCGCTCAGCGGCATCAATGAACGGCAGACCCAGCTCCAGGTTGCGCGTAAGACGATTGAGCCCAATGCCTTCCACCACTGTATCAACTTGATGTCGGCGGCGCGTACCTTCTGCTTCGGTGGCATTGTACATGACACCATACTGAATGCGATTGTACACACCTGAGCCTGGTGGATCGGCGGCGACTGTGAGGACTGACGGACCCACCTCTTTGAGGTAGGCCGACACGCCCGAGAGCGTGCCACCCGTCCCGGTGCCAGCGACAAAGGCATCCACGTGTCCCTGCGTCTGAGTCCATATTTCTGGACCTGTGTGTTCATAGTGTGCAGAAAAGTTGGCATCCGTCTCGAATTGGTCGGCGAAAAATGCCCGAGCATACGGCTCATTCTGATTCGGCCTCCAGGACTGCGCGCGCGCGCGTGCTTCATTCACAAAGTGACGCGGATCTACAATACCCCGCGGACGCACTGCTTCTACAACCGCGCCCAACCGACGCAGCAGAGTGGCTTTTTCCTCGGCCACATCATCCGGCACAATAATGCAGCAGCGGTAGCCTTTGGCACAAGCCAACATAGCTAGCGATATACCCGTGGAGCCTACGGTACCTTCAAAAATCCATGAACCCGTGTGTGGTACAAGCAGCTCATCTTTTTCGGCCTCTGTGATGATTTGCAATGCTACGCGGTCCTTAGGGCTGCCTCCAGGGTTCAAAAATTCCGCTTTGCCGAGGATCTCGCAGCCTGTCAGATCTGATAGACTCCTGATACGCACAAGGGGTGTATTTCCGATCATGCCTTCGACGCCTGAGACGATCGAATGACTTTGCCGAAGTTGAATTGGCACAAAGTCGTTGCTCGGCGACGATCGGGCCACTTTGCGTCGGCTGCTGGCACGCCCAAGCGCTCGATGGGCTCTGGCTAATGCCAGAGCTCCCAAGCCGGTACAAAGACCCACGAAAAAACCAACGACCCAGGTGCCAGCATAGCGGTAGCGCGTGAACACACGGGCTAGTCGGTCCATCATCCCAGGTGAAAAAAAATAGGGGATCATGCACGGACCACGAGCGATGGAGGAAAAAATGTTCCCAATCCGGGAGTCGAACCCGGGTCTTGTCGGCGCCTCACTGGCTCATGCACATGAAAGCGACATATACTGACCGTTGTACTAACTGGGAGGCACGTGCTAAACTGAAGAATTCAAGCAGCTTTGACGCTGTGCGAGTCAGCGTTCATGCAAGAAAAAGAGTTCCCAATCCGGGAGTCGAACCCGGGTCTTGTCGGCGCCACACAGTGAAACACATGAGAGCGACATATACTAACCGTTGTACTAACTAGGAGAACTGTGCCCAAACTGGGCTTTGGGGAGGTCTAGAGCAGCAGGGCTATGCCCAGCCATGGCGGCCGTACGCAATGACCTCCTGCGAAATGAGTAACTCTCCACGTACCTGAATCCATTTTTTGGAAGACGCTGGGATCCATCGCGAGCGAGCCAGCTCTTCCAATTTGCAGAGACACTGATGATGAATGGAGGCACGAGTAGGATGTTCCTGAAGTGTGCATGCAGACATGTCGAGCTGTGACAGTGACCCTGTTAGTAGCAGCAAGGCACATCCGGCCTCGAGTTCGTGCATGGGTACTTGGACCCACGGGATGTCGTGAAAAAACAGGGCCTGAAGCCATTGTTCGACAGTAGCTGGCGTAGCCACTACGCTTAAACGGGCCAATTCGCCGACAAAGCGGGCAGCGTCAATCATGTCGGGTCCCTGGACGTCGGTGAGGAGACCGGGTCCGTGGGACGATGATGCCTCGACGCCGGGTACTTGGAGGAACGGCTGGCTGGTATGTCGCTGCTTGTGAAAGTCGGTAAGTTTTTGGTGTAAAGCACGTTGGAACACGTCATGCAAGATGGTTGATGTGCACGCACTGTGCTGCGACTCGAGCGTCTGCAAATGGGCCGTCGGTAAGAGATGAAGGGGGTGTAGGTTTTCATGTGCGGACCAGCGGCGCAGATACGCGAGAATATGTGCACAGTACTGAGCCATGACAGCTGGGCGTGTGTAAGGACGACGAGCATCGCGAACGGCCATGTACCAGACCGTGTGAGCGATGTGCAAGCTGAGTCGTTCCGCCATGTCAGCTCCGATGGTTGCCGAGAGTTGTTGGCTCCACAGAGCGTGGGCTTTGGTGGTGGTGGGGGTACGTGGGATCAACTCGTGGGTCATGCGTGGGAGCCGGAAACTAGGCGGTGAGAGCGCATAGTCTTGTGGCGTAGTAGGACGCCATGCGCGCGTCAGCAGTTCGATGGTCTGACGCGCGGCGTGTTTAGCCAGGCCCGCCACGTCGCAGTTGAGGGTGGCGGCCAGCTTGGCAAACACGAGATCAAGTTGCCAAGCGAGCTTGTCAAAGGCCAGTTGATCGCGTGTGAGAAGAGTACGCACAAACGCGCGCTGCCAGGTGGAATCCGTCGAGGGCCGAGCGCAGCGCGCCATCATCGCGGCCATTTCGCTGTCTGGAGGGGACACGAGAATCGTCGGTGGCGACGGTGGTAGGGGCCGGGGCCAAGAGCCGCCTGGCTTGCGGGGTATGGCAAAGAACGGCGACGATGGACTGCGTGGTGCAGGCGGGAGCGCATGCAGAGGGCGGCGTGGGATCGGAGGCTTGGGTGTATAGCGCGCGCGTTTGGCCACGGGCGAAGCCTCCTCGTCCGAGGAGCGTTTGTGTAGACTGGTATCACTACTACTGGAGCGGCATGGCTCTATGCGCGGCGTCTGTCGGTATGAAAGGGGGCGTGTGCGGCGTTCCAGCGAGCCGAGCGAGTGGCGCCACCGATCGGCCATGATGATGGAGATGAGGGTATGACACCGAGTTACGTCACATCCACCTGCACGGCTGTGCTGGCATATAGGTGCGGCTCGGTGGCGTTCGGCCATATGACGTGAGCATACGCGCCAACGAGCCACAGCCCTTCGGACAAGAAGCACAGGGACGTGGTCCATTCGAGCTCGGTGGAAGCGAGAGGAGACCAAGTCCTGTCCCAGGCACCCTCGGGCGCCATGGCATGCATGCGGGGCGCATCTGTGCCGAGGCGCGGCTCGATGCGTAGGCGTACAGACTGGGCGCCCTCGAGTCCGTGCACACGAATGATGGGACGCACCACCGTGTCGGCGGCCGCGGCTGAGTCCATGTGCACATCGACGTGGACGCGCGGCGCCACGAGGAGCGGCACATGGGCGTTGGAGGGCCAGAGGGCACGTAGATGCACGTCGCCCTGTGCCTCCGCGTTCGTCCACGTCGCCCGCACGCGTTGCCACAGCGCTTCGCGCACCCAGAACTGGGCCTTGGCCGCGTCGGACAGCGTGGTTTTGGGCACGACGTACTGACGCTCGCACAGTGCAGGAATGGGCCGGACGAGATCGGCGTGAGTGAGTGTCATTGGTGCCATGGGCCATGCGATGCGGGCCGACTCGCCTGACGGCAGTGTGCGCTCGATGCGCACGCCCGCATCGATACACACGCGCAGGGACGACGTGGACACATTCCGGGCGTGGAAGCTCACGAGCACATAGGGGCCGGGCTGCGGCGCAGGCGCCTGCAGGGCTGCGAAGAGCCGTTGCGCTGAGGCATCGCTGATGCGCTCGACGCTCAAGTCGCTCGTCGTGACGCTGGGCTCGACACAGAGAGGCAGCGTCGCTATCTGGGCGCCCGCTTGTAGTCGGACCCAGTCGCAGCCCGTCCGTCCACGTACGTGCACGTCCACATACGCGGTGGCATGCGGTGCAACGGATACGTGGGTGGGGTGGATCGTCGCGACGGGCTCGTGCTGCGCGAGCCACTCGTGTTCGTACAGCTCGATTTCTGATGCCTCACGGTGTGGTGGCGGCTGTCCATCATCCAGGGAGCATGGCACGTCCATGGGCGCATCCGAGGGGTTGTGCAGGGCGACACGCACATGCTCTGAGGCGCCGTCCAGAAGCAGGACGACGGAGGTGGGTAGGCGGATGTGGCATGGCGCACGCGGCGCTCCCAGGGCGCATGCGAGCGAAGCATGCGGTCGTTCGAGCGCCTGGCTCAAGTCTCGTACGCGCGACTGGATGATCCACTGAACGAGCTGAGCGCCTGGGCGGCCCAGCAAGCCTGCGACGCAGCGAACAGGCGCGTCGCGTTCGTGGATGTGTAGGGTGTGGGCCTCGGCGCCCCACAGCCGCACACGTACGCCGTGTAGGTGCCAGGTGCCGGGGGCCTGAGGCACGACGTGGAGCTGGAGGGTGTGAAGGCAGTGGGGGGGCACGACGGCTTGCACGGCGGGCGTCGACACGTCGAGGCCCGCGCCCACTGCATGCACATCGTACAGAGGCAGGGGGATGGGCCATGGGTTGCAAAGGGACACGTGCACGCAGCCAGCATGCCATTGCATGGAGCGCAGCAGGTCGGGTGGGCCCCAGTAGCGCAGCTGGACATGCGGCGCATATGTCTGAGCGCGTGGAAGTGCGTGACGCAGGCCGTCGAGGATCGCCGCCGTGGGGCGCGTGTGCCGCAAGAGGAGAGCCGCGAAGAACACTTGGCCCAGAGGTTCGTCGAGCGCCTCGCACTGCACGACCAAGTCTTGGAGGAGCTGTACCTGCAGATCGTGCCAACCAAACGGCGCTCGTGGGCGGTATGCGACAGCGGCCGAGTCGCTCAATCGCGGCAGCCATCGGCGGCCATCGTCGCCCAGGGCGGAGGTGAGCATGTCGGTATAAGCGTACGCACATATGCGCTGGCGAGCGATCTCGAGGATGTGCGTTGGAGGCACATGCACGAGCGGCGAGGCGAGTATGTCGATGCCGTAGGCATCACAGGCCGCGATGCCGAGGACCAGGGCCGGATTCGCCGAAGCGAAGACGCCCGTGGGAAGGGCATCGGCACGCGGCATGGTGGTGGTGTGGGTATGCCACCGCAGCATGTCTCGCACGCTGTCCCAGGCGACGTGCGGCGTGATCGAGCGCGTTCGCAGCGTGCGAGCCAGCATGCTGCATACGACTGTGCCGAGCACGCGTCCTATGTGCGCTGCCAGGCGTGTGTAGCTCAGCAGCGTGCATATGCGGTGCAGGGGCGCGAGGATGCGCAGCTGATCGGTCGGCACGAGCAGCGGCAGCGACGGCGTGAGAGCCGCGCTCGCTGCCGCGGCGATTTCGTGGCGATAAATGCCCGAGACGGCGGCGAGATGCGCTTGCTCGCTGAACGTGAGTGGCACGCCCGTATCGAGCGCTGGTGGGTCGCCGCCGTACATGAGCTGGTCGTGGGCATCGGCGTTCCATCCGCCGGAAGCGAAGATGGCGAGGAGGAAGCGCGCATATTGGAGGCACGCACTGGCGTAGACGTAGGGCGGTGTGTAGTCGCGCGATGTCTCGTTCGTCATGGACCGCAGCGCCTCGAGCTGGACGTGCGGCGGCGCGAGGCACTGGCGGTAGATGGCGAGCGCCAGTGAGTATGCCTCAGCGACGTCGCGCCATGCCAGGGGCTCCGGGGTAGGATCGTGCGTGTCCTTGTCCTTGCCCGGCGTGAGGGGGTACAAGAGGCACGGCGCCTGCGCCGCTGCCTCGCCGCCGATGCGCGAGAGTACGGCACGCGTGACGGCCCATCCCTCGAGCGCGCCTGCGAACCACACGGCGTCGTGCCCGCCTGCCAGAGCACGCTCACGACCTGCGTGGGTCAGAATGCTGTCGTACAGCTCGAGCGCATCCCACAGGTACCCACTCATCATCGCTGCATCTGCCTTGACCTTGACGACGCGCAGCGAGGGCGCCGGCTTATCAGCGCTGCTCTTTTTCAGCCCAAAGATCTTGCTCGCCGTCGCGACGGTGGATTTGCGCGGCACAAGACGCATCTCCGAGGGCGGCGGCGGAGGCGGCGGCGCGGCGCCCCGCAGCGTCTCGCGGGGTGTCTCGAGCTCGTCGAGATGCGCCACATAGTGATCGAGCTGATCGAGGAGCGAGCCGATCATGTCAGCAAGGAGCTGACGCACGTACCACCGCACATCCTGCGCATCGCGACGCACGGCGGGCACGACGTGGACGCCCGGCGCGCGTGCGCGGCACAGGTCGCTCTGCGGCACAAATGCATCATCGACGCCGTCATCGTGCTCTATAGCCATATCGCCATGTTCTGGGGCCTTTCTCACGTCAAAGGCCCATAC